CGATCTGGCCCGCGCTCTTCCGCCCCCCGGCCATGCACCTCGCGCACTTCGGCCCCGCCCGGGCGTCGTTGCTGCGCTGGGCCTCGAGCATCCCGCCCATGAAGTGGCAGTTCGGGAAGCTTCGCCCACGCGCGCCGCGACGCCGCGTCATTCCTAATAGTTACCACGCTTGCACCCACGGCACTGATTGCAAGGGGCGTCGTCGCAGATCCCCCAAGAATTCTGATCATCCTGGTTGACGTTCAGGCACGGGAGCTACTCTTCCGCTGGTCCATCGCCAAAAATGGCATGGAATTTTCCTGTTGGTACGACTTCATGAGCTGCCTGCACTTCATGCAAACCAAATCTGCGCTTCGGCGCGAAACGTCCTGCTCGAGACGCGCCTGGCCTCGACTGGAAATGCATTTGGAAATACCCGCCCAGACCTCGTCGCCGCCGACGCCGCCCGCGCCAACGCGGCACGGCAGCGCCATGAGGAGAGCCAGTCGGCCCGCGCTCATCTCCCCTTCGCTGTCCGCCCGCCCACTTGCCTCCACGCCGCCATCACACCCGGCGCCATCTTGAACCACTACGCAAGACGGTAAGAAGAGACCCCGGCCCAGGAAGCAGCCCCTGCCAGAACTGACGCGGGAAGCAAGGCTGCCCGATAAACCAATCCCCCGCTTCTTTTACCCTGCCCATGATGACGCGCGCGCGCGACGTCGCGACCATCTCGGGCTTCGCAGTCCACGAGAGGCACCCCCCGATGACGACGGACAACGCACTTCCACAACGCGCGCGGGCCGCCCCACCGACGTCGGCCACGATGAGGAAGCCGTCGCGCATAAGCTTCACGCCAACTGCATTGCCCAGCGACCACGGCCACGCCTGCGTGGATAGCGCGCGCACGAACCGCCCGTCGAGCTCCAAAATCGACTTCGTTTCAGAGCGGGCCTCAATCTACAACTTCTTAGGTTCGCGCTGCAGTGCGACTTCCCAATCGGTAAGCGATCTTACATGCTCACCCTCGTCTCCAGCCAGTTCCCGGCCGCGGAGAACACTGCGATCGCGCTGCACCACGCCCTGCCAATTTGCCCCCTTGCCGACGGCGCCCGCGCAGCGCGCGGGCTGATCCGCAACGAGCGGGAATGGACCTGGCACTCCCCCTGCGCGGCGGTCGCAACACTCGAGGGCCCCACCCCCCAGCCCCCTCGCGCCCCGAGCCCCAGGAGCGCGAGAACTTCCCTGAGCGCGTGTGGCTCCTCCAGAGGGTGGACTCTTGAGTGGCCGCGTGGGCTCGCCCCCCGCCCCTCCTCCTCCGCGCGATTCGCCATTGCCTTCTGCGCCCCCCTCGTTTATCCGGCCCCCGCTTCGCCCGGTTCCCCGAGGGCGCTGGCCGGAGGGCGGGGGTCGGAAACTCTGACGGGGGCGCGGCGCGCAACAGGGAATCGCCCAGAGCACCGGGCCACCTCGAGTGGCACCTTTGGTTCCGAACCCTTCGGCGACCTGCGGCGGAGACGCGGGCGCTACTTTGAACGGCCCTCCCTTTTCCTCTCCCTCGCCCCCTGCCCCTCCCCCATCTTGCGCTTTTGCCCTCTGAGGCCATCTCCGGCCGAAGCCGATTTGGCTCAGACGCGCGCCTCTGCCCCCCTTTTCCGCCGGGACGGGCGAGGGCCCGCCCCCCCCCCCCCGGCGGCCGCCCGGCGACGGTCTCAGAGTCAGAAGGGCCGCCCTGCGCGGACGACGGCGGCGAAGCGCGGCCTTCTGCATCGAGGGCCCACGAAGAAGACCCGCAAGTCCGTCACGAAGCAGGGCTCCGCCAAGTCTGTCGGGAAGCTGGCCTCCCCCACGTCCGCCAAGCAGCAGGGCCCCACCAAGTCCGTCTCGGAGCAGGCCTCCGCCAAGGCGGCCCCGCGCACGCCGAAACACCAGCAGCCCCAGGAACAGCAGAAGTGGACCCGAGACGTCCTCTCCAGCAACCCTGAGACCACGGTGGGCGACTTGGCCGGCATGGGTGAGAAAGGCTCGATCCTTCACCTGCTCAAGTTCGGCTTCTTGGATAAGCCACTTCTGCTGCCCTTTCTTCTAGATTAGCGGGGTGGCCGATTTGCAGAAGTACCGCGGACAGTACCAGCACAGATGCACACGTAAAACATGCAAGAGATCTACCCTTCCCCAGGCGGGCTCGCGTCTCTTCAAAACGCAGACACAGTTGCGTTTCCGGGCCGTCGCCCTCACGCTCGCCGCGCGGGGCGCTGCCATCTCCCTCGCGCCGCTGTCACGCTGGGGCCCGACGAGCCGGATTGCACAACCAGTGTACCAGAGCTGGCGCAGAGCTATCCAGTCATACGTCAGTTACAAGCGGGCCGACATCCACATCGAGGGGAAGCCACCCGCCCTCGCCGAGTACGAAGCAGACGAAGGAGCTTTCGGACTGGACCAGGGCGGAGACGGCACCCCCGGGGAGGAGGCGCGGTTCGTGGAATACCTGGGCGCGAAGAAAAGGCACCGCCCTCATCCCCAACTCCCCCACTCTTCTTCCTTCCCTTCTCCTGCCCACACACCCTCGCCCACCCTTTTCCCCCCGCCCTTTTTCCTCCGCAAGGGGCGACAGGAAGAGCTCGCACGTCACTCGGCGCGACCCGAAAGAGCGCACCATCACCCGCCAGTCGAATGGACGGTGCTCCCCGAGGCAGCCGACGTCGCAGGAATGGGCCGCCCCCCGCAATCGCCCAAGGTCTCCTGGCAAACCGCTCGCGGGCAAGCACGTCCTCCAGCTCACGGACGGCGCTCTGGCGGACGGCGCACAGCGGAAGGGCGCCAAGGCGCCTCGGGACACAGTGACGCACGCTTATGTGAAGGGGGGGCCTTTTTCATACTTCTGGCTGCCGCCGCCCCGCCCGCTGCCCCCCACGCGACGACGACGACGGAGACGACGACGCCGACGACGACGGGGACGACGACGCCGACGACGACGACGACAGAGACGCCGACGACGACGACAACGACGACGACAACGACGACGACGACGACGACGACGACGACGACGACGACGACGACGACGGGGACGACGACGACGACGACGACGACGACGACGACGACGACAGCGACGACGACGAAGACGACGACGGCGACGACGGGGACGACGACGACGACGGCGGCGGCACCGGCGCCCACGGTGGCGACGGGACCTCCCCTGCTTTTCTCCACCTTCTTCCGGGGAGGGGCGGTCCAAAGCTTGCTCCCACAAGGTTGGGAAGAAGACCGTGCGCGCGCAAGCTGGCACTCAATCCCTCGATTCCACGTGGGGTCACGCCAAGAGGCGTACGCGTGGCGTCCAGAGAACGAATGCTCAGGCGCTTGACTCTCGGGTTGCTAACTACCAGTGGCGCCACCGGTGCATGGGAGAAGACCAGTGGAAGGCCACGGGGCAGGCCATCCGCTACTTGAACACGCCAGAGTAGAACTAATGTGTGCACTCGTCCTCCTGCTGGTCGTCGTCGTGCCCGTTCTACTCGACAGCCTCCGTCTACTCCACAGCCTCCGTCTCCTCCACACCCTCCGTCTGCAACACAGCCTCCGTCTCCAACACACCACCCGCTACTCAGCAGGCTTCCTCCCCAAGCTGAACTTGAAAATCCGAGTCTACTCCACAGCCTCTGTCTCCTCCACACCCTCCGGCTGCAACACAGCCTCCGTCAGCAACACACCCCTCGCTACTCAACAGGCTCCCCCCCAAGCTGAACTTGAAAATCCCATTCTAATCCACAGCCTCCGTCTCCTCCACACCCTCCGTCTACACCATCCCCTCCGTCTCCAACACACCACCCGCTACTCAGCAGGCTCCCTCCCCAAGCTGAACTTGAAAATCCCATTCTACGCCACAGCCTCCGTCTCCTCCACACCCTCCGTCTGCAACACAGCCTCCGCCTCCAACACACCACCCGATACTCCACAGGCTCCCTCCCCAAGCTGAACTTGAAAATCACATTCTACACCACATCATCCGTCTCCTCCGCACCTTCCGTCTGCAACACAGCCTCCGTCAGCAACACACCCCTCGCTACTCAACAGGCTCCCCCCCAAACTGAACTTGAAAATCCCATTCTAATCCACAGCCTCCGTCTCCTCCACACCCTCCGTCTACACCATCCCCTCCGTCTCCAACATACCACCCGCTACTCAGCAGGCTCCCTCCCCAAGCTGAACTTGAAAATCCCATTCTACGCCACAGCCTCCGTCTCCTCCACACCCTCCGTCTGCAACACAGCCTCCGCCTCCAACACACCACCCGATACGCAACAGGCTCCCTCCCCAAACTGAACTTGAAAATCACATTCTACACCACATCATCCGTCTCCTCCGCACCTTCCGTCTACTCCACTCCCTCCGTATCCAACACACCACCCGATACTCAACAGACTACTCCTGGACTTCCGTCTCCAACAGAACACCCGATACTCCACAGGCTCTTCCTTCCCTTCCGCACCCTCCGTCTCCACAACGTTGCCAGCGTACTTTTCTCTCTCTCTCTCTCTCTCTCTCTCTCTTTCTCTCTCTTGCGCTCACACACACCTCACTCTCGTGCACCCGCACACACACCAACGGAAAGACCCACACACCCTACGTGTTCTTGGATATTCCAAGAGGAAATGGGTGTTCATGGTGGGTTCAGGGACCATAAATATATAGAGAGAGGCCCCTGCTGCTGCTACCGCGTCTCCTCCTCCTCCTCCTCCTCCTCCTCCTCCTCCTCACTCCCATCCTGATTCCTCTCTTGCTTCTACTGTAACCCTCCCCCCTTTCCCCCTCTTCTTCATCTTTATCTTCCTGTCGTTCCTCATCATCATCCTTCTCCTCCGTCTGCTCCAACTCCCCCTTATTATCCTCTTCCTCTTCCTCCTTCTCCTCCTCCTTCTCCTCCTCCTCCTCCTCCTCTTCCCCCTCCTCCTCCGTCTCATCGTCCTCTGAAACCCCGGCGTGTGCGTTCAAGAGGGTCAGGAGCATGTACGTCAGACGCCTTTTCTTTCTGGCGCGACACCAAGACACTAAGATCTACCCAACGGCGCTTGCACATCAGGAGCACCCGATCAGCCATAAGCTGGTTGAAAGCGCGATGGGGTCGAAATCGATAGAGAGGGCCAGCTGAGAAGACGGCGGCTCTCCCACGCGGCCCAAATCTGTTCAGAATCGGTCCCAGGACCCCTCACGGAGCCCGTCCTGACCCGTTCGGCGAGGCGGATCCAGCCAGGACGACGAGAAGCCTCCAGGAGGCCGGCCAACGACGAAGAACGCGGGGAAGGGCTGCCGTTCCCGACCTGGCACTCCTCCGAGATCGGCAGCCGCCCCGAGACAAGCTGCGGCCCAACCAGCAAAATGGTGTCCGAGAAGATGGGGTCGGAGGATCGCGCCGCATCGCCGATACATCGGCGATGCATCCCCGATGCATTGGCGATGCATCGGCGACGTCGGCGACGCTTCGGCGCTACCAGCGTGGAGAACATCGGGCTCTACATCGGGCCGCATCGCCGATGCATCGGCGATGCGGCGCGATCCTCCGACCCCATCTGCTCGGACCCCATCTTGGAGGCCCAGAATGGTGGGGAGAGCGCAGGAGGGGTACGAAGTCCGAGGGGCGAGCAAAAAAGGCTGGCGGGCGGGAGAGAGGGCAGCAAAGGCAGGAGGGGGCGCGCTGGGAAGCTACGGCAGGTTGGCGGCGCGCAGAGGCGAGTAGGGGAAGGGGGGGGGCGTCTTAGCAGGATCGGGTGCGCGCAAACATGGATTAGCGATCCCTGGGTTTGGCGCGCGGTCGCCAAATCCATCGATCAGGGGAGGTGCCCTCCCCAAAATGCGGCCGCTCGTTTGGCGGCGGAAGTCCGCGATTTCCCATGGAAACGGGACCCGTCGCAAGTCCACGCCCCCTTGATCCATGCTTGCGATCGCCTGAAAGGAGGCTGCTTCTTAGGAGGCGCTGGCCTTACGGCCCTCCCCCTAACCCCCCTTCTGCGCGTGGCCGAGGAGGAGGAGGAGGAGGAGAAGGGGCAGGCACACGCGATAAAGAGCCTTTTGCCTAGAAGAAGTCTAGGGGCACATCCTTCGTCGACTCTGAGCTTCGCGAGGTGCTCTCCAGGGCTCTGCGGGCCCATGCTGGGAGAGGAGGAATTCTCGTTGTGCACCCATTGGCAGGCCAATGACGTATTGAGAGTGCCTGCTGTGACGGCATCTAGCGGTCGAGGGGCCGCGGCGTGGGTCACGGCACGGTCTGGCTGAAGGACGTGTCATCAGGCCCTCCCGAGCCCGTACTGGCGGCGAGTTTTGAAGTGGAGGGGCCCCCCCAAGGCCCCACAAACCCAGACCTACCTACCCTGGACTTCCAGGGTCGGTGAGCACAAATTTTCCATGGGCTTGCCCGTGGTGGGAGGCTTCGCCTCTTAAGCACCCTGGGATTCCCTCGGGGCGCAGCGGAGGCAGAGGACGGGGAGGCGGAGGAGAGGGAGTGAGGGGAGGGGATAGATGGCAAGCTAGGTGCGCTCGCGTCATATCTGACGTCCTACCCCTCCCTCCCATCCCTTACCATGGTGTAGATATCCTCTCTAATCGCACAGTCAGGTGTCGTAGTATGGCATAGCATTACATCGCATAGTATGGCGTTGAAGATCAACGCATAGCATGACAGAGCATGGCGTATCACTTCTGATGGTTTTCTCGGGGGGGGGGGGGGCATTTTCTAGATTTTAGGGCCTAGTTGTAAGGACCGAAAACCATGCCGTGGCATGGCACTAGAAATAATTGCGCCAGCGCTGCAGCCGGAGCACGATTCGGAACGAGCGGAAGCGCGGAAATGAGTCCAGCGCTGCAGCGGGAGCACGATTCGGCACGAGCACGAGCGGACGCGCGGAAATGAGGCCAACGCTGAAGCGGGAGCACGAGTCGGAACGAGCGGAAGCCCGAAAATGAGGCCAGCGTTTCAGCGGTAGCAACATTTTGAAAAAAAGAACTCCCTGGAATCATGTGTGCAAAAAGAACAGTACGCGGAGGGGGGCGGACATCTTCTGGACGTCATCAGGGGAGAGAGGAGAATAGTATTCAGATTGTGGAATTGCACTGAAAGAAACGGGTACCTCCTGTCGCCGAAAAACAAAAAACAAAAAAGGGAAAAGAGAAACAAAAAAAAAACGGCGTGAGGTTTAATGTTCGGCCTCCTGTGGCCCTTACTGGGCCCAGGGTCGTCAATAGCGGCTCGGGATTAAAATCTGGCTGCGGGGAGGCGGAAGCGGCAGACTTCAAGGCATCAGATCTGTGGGGAGAGCGGGAGGGGATGGATGGATGGGAGGGAAAGGGTGGATGGGGACGAGAGGGGAGGGGAAGGGCGGATGGATGGCACGCTCATCGAGGCGGTGGCTGAGACCTAAACCTCAGAGCCAGAATAGAGGAAGCTGGACGGACAGACGGAGGGGGCGAGGGATGGAGAGGAAGGGAGGTGGACAACAGAGGAGGGGAGAGCGGGGAGGCAGACAAAGGGATGTAGTACCTGTGCGGACCTACTCCTCTTTGGTGTCCTCGAGGTGCTTTTCGTACGCGGCCTGTGGGGTATCTCCATGCTTCGTCGTCGCCGCCTCAACGTTCCCGCTGGTGTCGGCGAATTGCGCGTCGTCCTCCTCCTCATCCTCCTCCTCCTCCTCCTCCTCCTCCTCCTCTTCCTCACCCGTCCCCTCCCCCTCCTCCTCCTCCTCCTCCTCCTCCTCCTCCTCCTCCTCCTCCTCCTCCTCCTCCTGTTCCTGATGATCCTCCTCCGCCTATGCATCCCTCTCCACTTCCATCCTCCTTCTTCTCCTCCTCATCCTCATCATCACCTTGCTGTTCATCCTGGTGATCATCACTGGTTTGGCTTCCAACCTAATGCCCTGTATTGCCCAGCCAAATTAATCCGAAGCTCGTCGTCATCGTCCTGGCCCTCCTCTTTAACCCGCGTCGTCGTCGTACGCCTCCGTTTTGCCCTCCTGCTCCTCCTCGACTTCCGTTCGACCTCCTCGTTCGCATCATCCTCCGGTTGTTCAACTCAGTCCCATTTGCGCTTGCTCCTCCCAGAGAATGAGTGCGGACGGGGTATTCCAAGTGCATGCGGAACATAAGTAGCAGCGTCATGGCACCAGGCCTTACGTGACCCTCGTCCCCGATGCGGTAGGGGGGAACAACCCAACGCCACGTAATCGATATCGGCGCCATGCTTCTCCCTGCCTATGCTCCTCCCCCCGCTCAGACTGCTGCTCACCCTTCTCGTCAGGAGGGGCAGCACGAGGGAGGAGCACAGGGATGATGATGGCGTCACGGTGATAGTGTTGCTGCTGCTGCTGATGTTGCTGCTGCTGATGATGATGATGATGATAATGACGATGATGTTGATGATGCTGATGATGATGATGGTGGTGATGATGATGGTGCTGGTGGTGGTGCTGATGTTGATGATGATAGTGATGCTGATGCTGATGCTGGTGGTGATGATGATGATGGTGGTGATGGTGATGGTGATGGTGATGGTGATGGTGATGGTGATGGTGATGGTGCTGCTGCTGCTGATGATGATGATGATGATGATGATGATGATGCTGATGATGATGATGATGATGATGATGATGATGATGATGATGATGATGATGATGATGATGATGGTGATGGTGATGGTGATGGAGATGGTGATGGTGATGATGATGATGATGGTGATGGTGATGGTGATGGTGATGGTGATGGTGATGGTGATGGTGATGGTGATGGTGATGGTGATGGTGATGGTGATGGTGATGGTGATGGTGGCAATGAAGGTGATGTGGTGATGATGATGGTGATGATGATGAGGATGATGATGATGATGATGCTGATGATGATGGTGGATGTGGTGGTGGTACTGCGAAACATGGCACGAATAATAATCGTTGTGATAGAAGGTACTAGTAATAAATTTAATAATGATGATGAGGTTGATGGTAATAACACTAATGATAGTACTCATCATCAGCATCATCAGCAGCAGCAGCATCATCATCATCAGCAGATCCGTAGCCATTTTGACTCAAGCTGCTTCTCCATACCTTCTCGCAGGCGCCCCCAAACTGCGGCAGCGGCGCGCGGTCGGGAGATGCTTGGCAATAGCGACGGGGGGCCGCCCGCAGGCGCACGGGCGGGGCGGCCCAGCACGCGCATCACGCTGCGCCTGAAGGAGGCGGCCAAAATGGGGGCGTCCGCGGCTCGCCGAGCTGCGCGGGAGCGGCGCCACCTTTCGGCAGAGGCCGCGGTGCAGGCGCACCCGAGGGTCCGCGGAGGCCCGGGCTCCTGGCAAGACCGAGAGGCGGCGGCTCGGCCAGCCCTCCGCAGGGCCGCCGCTGGGGGGACACTCGGAGGCGGCGCAGCGCCGCCTGGCACGCCACGCAGACCCACCAGGGCGGTTTCTCTGGTGCCTCGAGGGCAGGCCTCGCTTGGGCCGCGGCGGGGCCCCGCCTGGGGCCGGGAGGCGCCATGGCCTCAGGCGATAGGCGCTGCGCGGCGGCCTCGAGGCCCCTCACCGTGAGTTTCCAGGACTACGTCGACGCTATCGCGGAGGACGGCAGCGAGCAGCTGGAGCCTCTGGACGGGAGCTCAGGCATCTGCGGAAATTGGGGCCAGACAGGGGCAGACCCTAAAGGAGGGCAACGGACCTCGGCGCGAGGCCGCAGACATGCGGGTGGCCGAAGCCCTCGACCAGGTCCAACCCCCACCCTGGGCCGCGAATGCGCGGGTGACCGAAGCCAAAGGGGAGAGAGGCCCCTCATCGGCGTCGGGGCGCTGGGACGTCCTTGGGGAGCCCGCTGCTGGGCAGATCGAAGGGGGGGGAGGCGAGCTCTGGAGCAAGGCCGCAGACGTGCGGGCGGCCGACGCCCTTGACCGAGCTCAACTTCATTCCAAGACCATGGACGCGTGGGTGGTCGAAGCCCCTGGGATGAGGGCCCCCCCCAGCGGCTGGCGTCGGGGCGCGGAAACGTCCTCGGGGAGCCCAGGCAGGGGCAGACCCTAAAGGGAGGGGGAGGCGACCTCTGGCGCGAGGCCGCTGACGTGCGGGTGGGCGTTTCCCTCGACCGAGCTCAGCCTCCGCTCATGGCCACGGACGCGTGGGTGGTCGATTCCCCTGAGCCGAGCACCCCCTCCAAGGCGTCGGGGCGCAGAGGAGCCCTTGGGGAGCCCCCAGCAGGGCAGACCCTAAAGGAGGAAGGAGCAGGGTGTGGAGCTCCCTATGGGGCCACGAGACGCTGTACTGGGTGAGTGAAATGCCACATTGGGTTTTCGGGACGCATGCGGATGGTGGCACTGGGGCCTTCGGTGGAGCTCCCTATGGCCACGAAAAGCTGTACTGGGTAGGTGAAATGTAAAATTGGGTGTTTCGGGGCGCATGCGGACGGTAGCACTGGGGCCTTCGGTGGAACGCCCAGTTGGGCCACGAAACGCTGCACTGGGTGGGTGAAACGCAAGGAGGAGGAAAGAGGGGGCCACGAAACGCTGCACTGGGCGGGGGGACGCATGCGGACGGTCGCACTGGGACCTTTGGTGGGGCTCCATATGGGGCCACGAAACGCTGTACCGGGTGGGTGAAATGCAAGGAGGAGGGAGGACGGGGCCACGAAACGCTGTACTGGGTGGAGGGGACGCATGCGGACAGTAGCACTGGGACGTTCGGTGGGGTTCCCTACGGGACCACGAAAAGTTGTACTGGGTGGGTAAAGCGCAGGGAGGAGGGAGGAGGGGGCCACGAAACGCTGTACTGGGTGGAAGGGACGCATGCGGACGGTAACACTGGGACCTTCGGTGTGGGCTCCTACTCAAGCACGAACGCTGTACTGGTGTGGGTCGAAATGCGGGAGGAGGAGGCGGAATAGGGGCGGAGGTAGA